GAGCAGGATGCCTGACCCTCGCCAGGCCCTGGCCCCCGGAACAGGATGCCTGTCCCTCACCAGGCCCTGGCCCCCGGAACAGGATGCCTGTCCCTCACCAGGCTCTGGCCCCCCGGAACAGGATGCCTGACCCTCACCAGGCCCTGATCCCCCCGAGCAGGATGCCTGACCCTCGCCAGGCCCTGGCCCCCCTCACCAGGGTGCGTAGAACTCCACCAGGACCACGTCTCTGTCGGCCACGAAGGTGTCAAAGTTGCTGTCATTCAGGACCACGACGCCGTTCTCCTCCTTCACTTCTGAGTCATCGTCATCCTCCACGTCCTCCTCTGTGTCCTCATCCTCAACGGCATCTTCGAAGCTGAAAGAATCTGGGGAAACATCGGGTGTCGGGACACCCCCCACAGCTTCCTGGAGCCCTGGGCCTAGTAATCCTGCTTGTCTGCGTGCTGAAGTCTGCACACCGCAGGTGCAGGGTCCAGAGTCCACTCCCCAGCAGAACCAAGGGGGACACCAGCCTCTTTCCAAACCCAGTCCCCACGTCCCTGCCTCCTGGTCCCCGGCCCCAGCCCCTGACAGCCCTGCACTGAGAGCAGCCCCTCGTCCTGAGGCTTCCCAACTGCTGCGGGAAGGCACTGCCTGGCCAAGGCCCCTGGGTGAGCACAGCTCTGCTCAGTCTGGCTGTTCTCGCTGGAGGAGGCGGCTCTAAGCAGGCACGGGTTTCACCTTACGCTCAAAGCAGCCTGGGAGTTGGGCAATGCACGTTTAGCTGTCATGGCCCCCCAGCCACTTCCTGGGAGGGAGCAACTCTGTGAGGGTTCAGGCCTGCAAGGCCAGGCCACCAAAGAGGTTCTCTCCTTCATGCTTCCCTGCACGTTGTCACCAACGTGCAGTGTGACACATAGCATCGTGGGGCTTCAGCCCTTACTCAGCACCCTCTGCAGCCGCTGTCCCATCAGCCACCAGACCTAAGCCAGGAAGCACAACATGCTGACCCTGAGCCACACAGTTTCAGGGTCTGAGGGTTATTCTTTCTTGGAGAGTCTTCCCAGGAGATGAGCCCTCACTGCTCACCATCACTGTCTGCGGCTGAGCGTGAGGTGAGGGCTTGGAGGCTGCCTGCAGAGGTAGTGGAGGTGGGAAAGGAGGAAGTGGGCAACCTGAGGCTTAAGTCCGAGCTTGAGCTCGATTAATGACCACTAATCCTATTGTGCTGTTTGAACATAAAATGTAACAAATAAAAAACTTAAGGTTTAGAACATCCAGGTTGAGGGTGGAGAGTGCAGCCCACAAATAAATCTGTTTTATTGATTTACTGAATGGAAAGGTTGGGAGGCCTTCAGAGATGGCAAGAAGTAAGATGTGGGCTGGATGCCCCATCCTGTCCCAAAGGACACTCCCAGGGACTCTAACAGCCCAGGTGTCCAGGTGTCCAGGACTCACCCTCCTGAATAAGGACACACCTACTGGTCATACGGAGCTCTGGTAGCATAGTGCCTAAGGCACTTGACTGCTAACCAGAAGGCTGGCGGTTCAAACCCACCAGCCACTCCTCGGAAGGAAGGTTGGGCATTCCTACTTCCGTAGTGATACTGCCTCGGAAACCCAAGGAGGGGTCGCTATGAGTCGGGGCCGACTCGATGGCAAATAACAACAACAACAACAACTGGTCATACGAGCCCCGAGGTGCACCCGGTCGGCTGCTCCCTCCAGGCCTCACAAGAACCCGCCAAACAGTGTTAAGGACTGACTTGTGTGCCCCATACCCACTATACCTGAACGAATCCTGTCTGGATTCAGACTGTTGTCCTTAGGGATGCACCGTCAGTACAGGTGTGCCCTAAGCCTGACCACCTCTGAGCCACAGGGAGCAGCTCTGAGAAATGCACAGAAGGGGGAAGATAAAGGCCACGTGAAGCACGCCAGGGACTGTGGAAAAGGAGCTGAGACCAGGGCACCCTGAATCAGGACGTCTAGCTCCTCAACTGTAAAAATAAACTTCAAAGCCAAACAATTGTGGTATCCGCGCTACAGCAACACTAAGAAGCCAAGGGCAAGTGCACTGGAGCAACTAAGCCAAAGCCTTCCTGTTATCAGCTGTGCTCCAAAAGGCACCTCCATCCGCAACAGGCCTCCAACCAAATGAGCTTCTCATTTCATTCTGCCTGAGAGTCCTGAAAGCACTATGTGAAGTGGAGCTCCCAGGGCCCCTCTACACTGGCATCCCGGAGTCATATTGAAATCATCCTCCCCAGCTCATCCGGATGTCCAAGGTCCTGAAACAGGCTGCGGGCAACATTGCCTGACAGGTGTCTCCCACCACGTGCTGGTTTCACTTCGGGTAAAGATTTCTGAACTGGTGACCTGCACACAAGTCACTCACTCTGTCCGAAGAGGATAAAGGTCGTGCCTCTCTGCCTGGGAATTTTGCAAAACGGGGTTGGTTTACTTGGGCACAAAGTCCCTAGGGAAAGTTAGTGCTGGGGAAAAAGAGCAGGGTGGAGGGCGGTTCAGGCAGTCACGGGGCACTGTCCCCCGGGAAGCGCACACGTTTTCAACGTTCCTTGGTGTCAGCAGCTGAGGTCAGAGGAGGCAGCAGGGCCACCTAGCGTGCGTAGGTCCCACCGGCGCGGCCGCTCTCGAGCAGAGCCTTGCCCGGTGGCCGGCACCTGAGCCAGAAGGCCAGCGCCTCCAGGCTCCAAAGGACGTGAAGCCCCGATCCGCTCACTCCAACTCCCCGGACGGCAGGTGACAAGTCCAGGTGCCATCCGCGCGCCCACGGGTCCTCACGCCCTGCTCTCCCGGGCGCGCCCTCCCTGGGACCCGAAGTACGGCCGCCGCCTCGGAACCCTCTCCTCGGCCCACTCCTCGCGCGTCTTCTCGCTCACCTGCGTTCTCACCCGCGCCCTCCCCGCGCACCAACCCCCGAGCTGCAGCTCACCGGCGCCCGGCTCCTGCGCGCACACCACAGCCAACAGCTGCTCCAGCGCCAGAAGCAGGAGGAGAAGGCGCGCGGTCCCGGGCCGCATGGCGGGGCCTGCTTAGCTCCACTCTCCCGGGTGCCCCAGCTCCCGGCCCGACGACTCCGATCCGCGGCTTGCGGACGCTGCCTGCGCCCAACGCCGCCGGCACTTCCTCTTCTGTGGCCGAAACGTGAGGTGCCCCCTTCCGATTGGCTGCGCCGCAACCGCCAATCACGGGCTGCCACTCGGATCATTGGGAGCGCACGCGCGAAGGGGACCCAGACAAAGCTCGGGAGGCAGCCTGACGGGTGGGCGGGCCCGGGAGACACCTGGTGGAGCCATTGGCTAGCAATGTGGTTGGCGAGGCTGAGAGACTCCTCGGGGCGCCATTGGCCCACAGACTAGTATGCTGGGCGTGTCCGGTGGGCAACGCCTCAAGTCGCCATTGGCTGTAAGCTTGGCTGCGAGGCAGGGCGGGAGGGAAGGGATGGGAGACACCATTGGCCTGCGGCGTAGGCTGGGGGGTAGGTAGCAGGCCACGGGTAGTGTGGGACGCCCTCTGGGCACTATTGGCCGGCGGCGTGGCGGTGGGGCGGGACCTAGAGACATATCGCGGTACCATTGGCCGGCAGCGGGGCAGGCGGGGATACGCCGAGGCCACAAGAAAGCAGGCGCACTCTTTAGCCTCGGAGCTGTGCTGACGCAGGTGCTGGCGGCGTGCTGAGATTACGTGGTCTAGAGGGTGCTGAGGACTTATCACCTCTGGGCTCCGGGAGAAGGTTGCGAGATGAGAGAAACAACTCGCCGGCACCTTGGGTCAAGGGCTTGTTGAACCTGGAGAATGTGCACAACAAGGAGGCCAAAACACGAGTCAGTTTCTGAGGATGATGAAGTGAGGAGGAAAGAGTGGGCTGTCCAGACAAAGCAATCCCTGTTTGGATCTGTTCAGCTTCTAGGTATTGATCAGGTCCGGTCTCGTCCAAGCTTGCTTTCTTTTGGCGTCCTTTCTTCTGAGTCCTCAAACCCTCTCTTCTAACAGTTTCATTGTTTGGGCTAAAACCAGTTAAATAACTATCTTCTCCTTTTATAACACAAAGATCTCCATGATCGAAGAGTATCGTATTGGACCAAATAACTCATCCAAATGGAAGACGTGGTTAAGGAAGGGTGTTGTGCTTCGAGCAGGCGCTGAAGAATGAGCACTCTACTCAAAATGTGTCTTTCCACAATGGTCAGGTTTATCGATACTTAAGAATAGCAACAGACCCGGGATGGCAGCCTCCACACATGAAGGACTTCCACCAGGAGGAGGACATAAGTGGAGCTAGGCTCCCAGCTGGTGTCAGGGGCGGGTTTGTGGACAAGCCCAGTGTCTGCAGTAGTTGTGATGATGCCAGGAGTGACACCTTCAGCAGGGGCTTCTCCGTGGCAAGTGTCCTGCTGTGTCTGGAGACCCTCTCTGGGTGGAAAAGACCCTACGGGGCTGAAGCAGGGTCCCTGGACAAGCTGCCACTGCCCATCGAGCCCCTGCTGCCCATCAGCCTGCCCCAGAGGCTCCCAGAATGTGCTGGCTGCTACCATGTTGGCCACCAATGGCCATCACCACCACCTCACCGACACTTTGGGTGTCCTAAGCAGATAAGTGGGAGCTCTGGTAGCATAGTGGCTAAGACACTTGCCTGCTAACCAGATGGCTGGTGGTTCAAACCCACCACCACCCACTCGTCGGAAGGAAGGTTGGGCAATCCTACTTCCGTAGTGATACTGCCTCAGAAACCCAAGGAGGAGTCACTATGAGTCGGGTTTGACTCGAGGGCACATAACAACAACAACAACAAGCAGATAAGTGCCTAATGTACTTGACTGCTAACCAGAAAGCTGGCGGTTCAAACCCACCAGCCACTCCTCGGAAGGAAGGTTAGGCAATCTACTTCCGTAGTGGTACTGCCTCAGAAACCCAGGGAGGAGTCGCTATGGGTCAGGGCTGACTCCATGGCACATAACAACAACAACAACAAGCAGATAAGAATATCACTTGGTGAATATGTGGGCTCACAGTGCAGATCACTCTCAAAACTGTCCACCTGGAAGTGGGGCCTCCTCCCCAGACCTGGGGGGGGGGGTCGAAGTTGGCTTGTGCAATGGCTCTGACATTGCTTCCAGCGATGAACTGCCATCCTGCTGCTCCTCATGTATTTCATAATCAGCACTTTCCCATCTTGTTATTCTATATCAGTTATATCAGACTTGTTCTGTCTTTTCTGTTAACTTGTCCACACCCTTGGTTGCTTCTGTCACACCCTTGATTATCAATACATTTGTTTAAACATTTGTTCACTATAACTCACGTTTCTTGTTTATGTTAACAAACTTCCTGTTACTACATTAGTTGACTACAAAGAGCTCTGATAGCGTAGTGCCTAAGGCATTTGACTACTAACCAGAAGGGTGGCAGTTCAAACCCATCAACCACTCCTTGGAAGAAAGATGGGGCAATCTACGTCCATAGTGATATTGCCTCAGAAACCCAAGGAGGGGTCACTATGAGTCAGATCTGACTCAACAGCAGTGAGAGAGTTCACTACAATGTTAACACTCTTATTATAATACTTGTTCACTACATACTGTGTTAAGATGAAGGCAAAAGGAAGCACAGAGGGACAGAGCCTTAATATTGACAAAGACAGCAGTGGGGTGGAGAATGTGCACTTACACAACCATGCAGCCTAAGAGTGTTTAGATTACTTCAGCCTTGAGTCTTGAGCTGCAGAGAAATCAGATTTTTTAAAGGGATGAATTCACTCTACTTTTGTGAAAGTCTCTGCCAGTCACTGTAAGGACACCAAGAATCAGCAGAGCACTGTCGCAGGGGCTTGGGGGTGGAAATCCACTATTGTTGTTGTTAGGTGCTGGCGAGTCATTTCCGACTCATAGCGACCCTATACACAGTAGAACGAAATACTGCCTGATACTGCGCTAGCTCCATGATCCCTGCTATACTTGAGCCCATCATCACAGCCACCGTGTCAGTACATCTTGTTGAAGGCCTCCCCCTCTTTTGTCGACCCTCCACCCTACCAAGCATGACATCCTTCTCCAGGGACTGGTCCCTTCTGACAACATGACCAAAGTAGGTGAGACAAGTCTGGCCATTCTCGCTTCCAAGGGAGCATTTTGGGTGCACTTCCTCCAGGACAGATCTGTTAGTTCTTTTAGCAGCCCATGGTACTTTCAGCATTCTTCGCCAGCACCACAACTCAAAAGCATCAACTCTTCTTCAGTCTTCCTTATTCATTATCCACCTCTTACACGCATACGAAGCGATTGGAAATATCATGGCTTGTGTCAGGTGCACCTTAGTCCTCAAGGAGACATCCTTGCTCCTCAGCACTTGAAACAG